TGGTAGTGGTGGTAGTGGCAGTGGTAGTGGTAGAGTATGCCGGTGGCAAAGACACACCGCTAATACCCACTTTCAAGCATCGTTGCATTCGTCGTAGTAGTCAGAGCAGACACCGCCACGCTGTTTTGCAGAGGGCCTTCGCAAGAATGAAGCGTGGAAGCACGAGATGCGAGGGCCTCGGCCATGCAGCTTCGTCTATTTCCTGTAATGCTCCGGCTGATTGAATCGAATGTGGCTTCAGCGTGCAATCGATAGTAATGGTGGTGATGGCAAGTTTCCTGAAGAATGTGGTCATGATGACCGCGACGGCGACGGCGGCGACGACGAGGAGGATGATGGTGAGTTTGATGTATGCGATGATGGTGGTGACAGTGATGAGGGTAATTATCTTGATGTTGTCTTGGCCGTGTTCGTGGTCGTCGTGGTCGCTGTGGTAATTGTGGTTGCGGTAGTGGTTGTGGTTGCGGTTTCGGTTGTTGTGGTGGTTGTTGTCGCGCTTGGTGATGGTGGTGATGGTGGTGGTGGTGGTGGTGATGTTAGTGTTGGTGCTGCTGCTGTTGCTGCTGCTGCTGCTGCTGGTGATGTTGACACTGCTGTTCATCACGATGGTTCGTAGTTACCGGTGATCAGTCAGTGATGGCAGAGATCACGATGTTTGGCATGCAGGGAAAGATGGGCAGAGTTGATTATCGGCGGGTTTGGAAAGGTGCAAGAGCACGATCTGCAACTGTTCCCTCCCGGACTACTTGGGATCCCCATCTGCAGGGTGCTTGCGGTCATGTCGCAACTAATGCGTTGTAGGGTCTGTTCAATGTACCCATAAGTCAAAGCAGCGACCAGTGACGTGCAGAGCTGCCGTCTGCGATTCCGGCGATCCTGCATCCAAAAGATCGTAAACCATGTCAGTCCCTGCGACACGATATCTTTCTTCGGCGTCCTTCCGGTTTAGGGTTTAGGGGCGAATCCTTGTCATTGCCATGTCTAGTATCATCCCTCTTCTCTTCTCTGCCTAGGGCGGACCGCCCGCTCTTTTCAGCGGATGGCTCCAGCCCAGCTGAGGCGCACAGCGAGGGCTTTCGGTTAGGGCTTTTGGGTGCTGAGAGCCAGAAACTTCCAGCGCTCATAGCACTGAGGGCAGAGGTGTCGTCTGGAGGCTGGGGTTCAGGCGGTCGAAAGTTTGGGGATTTTTGGCTTCGATCTTGCTCCAAAACGTGGTGATCCCAAACCCTAGGATCCCCCGCCCGAAAGGCCCAAAGCCTCTCCAAAGGTTTTCGCCGCGGAGCTTCGAAGCGTGCTGCAGGTCCCGCGGTTTTCGGCTTCAGGGCTCCCTTATCTGACTGGTTCTTAGTAGGGAATGGGGGAATGGGTTATTGGGACTACTATATGGGACCTTAAAGGATATCATAGGGATCCATTCCCCCATTCCCTACTAAGAACCAGGGAGTTATTGCCTCGAGGGACTCACAGGGTTCAGGGCCTACAGCAAAGGTCCAAGTACAGCTGGGTCCGGAACAGAAGATTCGAGCCCGAAACTTTCAGTTCCTGGGAGAGCTTGCAAAGGCTGCCGCCACTCTCTCCTCTCGACGAGTATTGCAAACATCCCTTATAATTCCTCCTAAAAGACCCTGCTCCTCTGTCTGGCTCAGCTTAATCTCGGTTGTGGTCAAAAGTCCTGTTGTTGGCAATCGCATGTTCGCTACGTTACTCTTTCGAGAATCGGTTGGCATGGTATGGGGTGCAGCGGCACGCAACGGCATGTCTACAATGCACCCGGACCCCAACCGTTACATTCAAAAAATTTCAAGGCGAAATTTTCAAAGGCTCACGCGTAGACGAAGCACCCCACGGATGTGTGTGGACTCTTGTGCCCTAAGTGTCAGAAAACGGCCCAGCACAGCTTTCAGCACATCTTCAGGGTTCCCGACAGGTGTGAGGTTTCCTCTGGAAGCCCGAACTCTACACTCTACTAAACTGTCGAAGAGATACTCAAGCGAATTCCCAGCTCTCCTTGCCGCGGGCTGCCTCGCAGCTAGCGCAGCCGCTGCAGGAGGCAGATCAGCATGAAGATATCGTGAGGGGTTAGGGGTTTAGGATTGATGGCCAGTTTTTGTTTTAACACTTGTGAACTTTTTCTGCTTTGTGTACAAAATATGAGCTTAAGCTCATGGCAACACTGGGTTGGCAAATTGCAATACTGCTACTGCTACTGCTACTG